ACTCAGGTCACGATCTCGCGGTCCGTGAGTTCGAGCCCCGCGTCGGGCTCTGGGCTGATGGCTCGGAGCCTGGAGCCTGCTTCGGATTCTGTGTCTCCCTCTCTCTCTGCCCCTCCCCCGTTCATGCTCTGTCTCTCTCTGTCTCAAAAATAAATAAACGTTAAAAAAAAAATTTACAAAAAGAGAGAATGGAAGACTTGAAACTATAAAAGAAAACAGACAGTGAGCTCCTTGACACAGGTCTTGGCAACGGCTTTTTGAATCTGACACCAAAAGCAAAAGCAACAAAAACAGAACTATACCAAACCAAAAATCTTCCACACGGCAAAGGAAATAATCAGCAAAATGAAAAGGCAACCTATTGAATGGGAGATATATTTGATCTCACAAATAATATATTTGATAAGGGGTTAATTTCCAAACCATGTAACAAACTCATACAACCCAACACCTAACAATCTGATTAAAAATTAGAGAGAGGACTAAATAGACATTTTTCCAAAGAAAGCATCCAGATGGACAACAGGCACATTAAAGTATGTTCAACTTCATAAATCATCAGGGAAATGCAAATCAAAATTGCAATGAGCTATCACCTCACACCTGTTAGAATAGCAATTATCACAAAGACGAGAAATAACACGTTGGAGAGGATGTCAAGAAAAGGGAACCCTGTGCACTGTTGGTGGGAATGTAAAGTGGTGCTGCCACTATGAAAAATGGTGTGGTGACCTCCCCCACAAAGTAAAAATGGAATTACCGTATGACCCAGTATTCCCACTTCCAGTTCTATACCCAAAAGAACGGAAAGCAGAATCTTGAACATATATTTGCAAATCCATGTTCACAGCAGCGTGTTTTACAACAGCCAAGGACCCAAGCGTCCACTGACAGATGAACAGGTGAAAAGCAACGTGATATATACATACAATGGAATATTACTCAGCCTTAAAAAAGAAGGGAATCCTGTCACAGGCTACAGCACAGATGAATGTTGAGAGCATTATGCTAAGTGAAAATAAACAGTCACAGAAAGATAAAACTGCTTGATTCCACTTACAGGAGGCACCTTGAGTAGCCAGATTCATAAGAGACAGAAAGCAGGAGAGTGGTGGCTGGGGGCTGGAGGGAGGCAATATGGAATTTCTGTTTTGAAAGATGAAAAATTCTGGAGATCTGTAGTACAACAATATGACTAGACTATACTTAACACTATTGAACTGTATCCTTAAACATGGTTAAGATGAGAAATGTTATGCGTTTTTTTTTTTTTTGGCCATGATTAAAAATAACCCAGATACCTAATTTTTAAGTTTTGATCCCTTGTGAACTAATTAATATCATACATGAACTATTATTAGTTCCTCTATGTTTCACACCCTTGATTTACATACCCAGGGTTGCTTGGAGTTTCAAATAGATGACAAATACAATCCAGTCACCATCACAATGCACTCAGTGGAAGAAGTTCAGACATGTGTTAGCTTCACTCGTCGTTTAGGACTGGAAACTCTCTCCAGTGTCATATGAAATCTCAAATTTTGTATTTTCTTAAAGATTTCGTTATTGTTATTTTTTAATGTTTACCTGTCTTTGAAAGAGAGAGAGAGAGAGCGAGTGGGAGAGGAGCAGAGAGAGAGGGGGACAGAGGATCGGAAGCAGGCTCTGTGCTGACAGCAGAGAGCCCGATGTGGGGCTTGAACTCCCAAACCTCGAGACCATGACCCAAGTCAAAGTCAGACGCTCAACTGGCTAGCCCCAGGTGCCCCTAAAATTTTTATTTTTAAGTCATCTCTATACACAACATTAGGCTCGAACTCACAACCTCGAGAGCAAGAGCTGCGAGCTCTACTGACTGGGCCAGCCACGTGCCCCTCAAATTTTGTGTTGTTTTATTTTTTTATTTTTTTTTAAATTTTTAATGTTTTTATTCATTTTTAAGACAGAGAGAGACACAGCATGAGCAGGGGAGGGGCAGAGGGAGGAGACACAGAATCCGAAGCAGGCTCCGGGCTCTGAGCCATCAGCACAGAGCC